GTCACAATATTTTCCTAATTAATGCTGTACAGTTTCTTTGACACAATCTGTATTGTTAAAAGCGCTATATAAATAAAGGTGACTTGACTTGACCAAAACATATTCAAGTTACAGTTATATTATGAATATGGACTTAAAGTGCACACTCTGAGCTTTAATTTGAGGGTATTCTCATCACAATTGGAGAAAAGGTTAAGGAATTACAGCTCTTTACCTCCCCCCTTTTTCAAAGGACCATAAGTAATTGGACAGTTGACTCAAACGCCATTTCATGGACAGATGTGGGCTATTCCTTCGTTAGTTCTACATCAATTAAGCAGGTAGAAGGTCTGGAGTTGATTCTAAGTGTACCATTTGCATTTGGAAGCTGTTGCTCTGAACCCACGTCATGTGGTCAAAGGATGTCTCCATACAAGTGAAACAGACAATTGTTAGGCTTCAGAAACAAAACAAATCCATCAGAGAGATAGCAGGAACATTCGGAGCGGTCAAATCAACAGTTTGGTACATTCTGAGAAAAAAAATGCACTGGTGAGCGCAGCAACATAAAAAGGCCTGGATGTCCACGGAGGACAACAGTGGTGGATGATCGGTGGATCCCTTTCACAATCTCAACCCTGATTGAGCATGCATTTCACTAGCTGAAGACAAAACTAAAGGCAGGCCCACAAACAAACAACAAATGAAGTCAGCTGCAGTAAAGGCCTGGCAAAGCATCGCAAAGGAGGAAACCCAGTCTCTGGTGATGTTCATGAGTTCCAGACTTAAGGCAGTCATTGCCTGCAAAGGATTCTCAACAAAATATGACATTTTATTTATGATTATTTTTATTTGTCCAACTACATTTGAGCCCCTGAACATGTGGGGACTGTGTATAAAAATGGTTTTGTTCTACCCTTTGAATTAAAACTTAAAGTCTGCACTTCAATTTCATCTTGATTGTTTCATTCTATATATTATATGATATATTATCGTGTGTGTGTGTGTGTGTGTGTGTGTGTTAAACACAGGGGCTTCGAAATGGTTCAAACAATTATCATCTTCAGATTCTATATTAGTCTAATGTTGTGTCTACAGTACACAGCCAAAAGTGTTGAGTTCCAAGTATGTCCAGTATGTGTCGCCCTTTCATCGGTTTGTTTATACCCCTTACCTATAATTAGCAACAGAAGACACTTGGGCCATATTTAAAAGTTATGAATTTTAAAGATAATGATATAGCACTAACGTTCGAAGCCAACAAGTATATTATTTTATGATTTGATTTAAACTTTATATATATATAGTTATTTAATGCAATGACATTCATTTTTAAGCGTGACATAAGCGCCGAACGCTGATGAATAGAACAACCAGTTGAAGTAAGTGAACGAATTTCTGTTCATTCATACTGAGGAAACTGTAAGAAATTTAAATGCACAACCCTAAAATCTAGAGTGACACACCAAACAAATATAGCTATGAGGACAGGCCACAAAATCGATCCATTGCTTAATACTCTTTATTTAATTTAGGTAATCCAGAGTACAGTGTAATCTACACAGTACACTATCCCCATTCACTGTAAAATAAGAATGACATAAGCGCCGAACGCTGATGAATAGAACAACCAGTTGAAGTAAGTGAACGAATTTCTGTTCATTCATACTGAGGAAACTGTAAGAAATTTAAATGCACAACCCTAAAATCTAGAGTGACACACCAAACAAATATAGCTATGAGGACAGGCCACAAAATCGATCCATTGCTTAATACTCTTTATTTAATTTAGGTAATCCAGAGTACAGTGTAATCTACACAGTACACTATCCCCATTCACTGTAAAATAAGAAACATTTTTTAAATATTCATCTTGAAAATCGTACACCCATCTCATTCACTGTAAACAAATTATTATACGAGCGACTTGTACATTTGAAGAGCAGACCATTGAGTCACCTCAGAGTATTCCCGTTTTGTTCCAAGTATGCAGATTCCTTGAGCTATAGCCTAGTGATTGATTACATAATATGGGATCAGGAAACAAACAGTATTATGCTGTTCAGTGCACAAGGAAATGTTTTCTTGTTCAGGAAACGACAGAATTCCACTTAGTATATTAATAAAGTCAGCTACCTTATAATGATTAAAAAGAACAGATGTGCTGTAAATTCCTGTCTAAAGATCCTCATGGCTACATTGCTGTTGTGATTCTCCTGAACAAACCAGCAGTTGTTTGACACATCAGTTATGAATTCAGTCCATTTATACAAGAAGTTTCACAGATCTCAAATGGAATAGGAATGATCAAAGATCTGAGCACCTAGGGCCTTCATCGAGGGGGACAACAACAATTTGTCCCAGGCCCTGCGAATGTTAGTGACGCTGGCACACATTATAAACACCTAGAATTGTCCCCTACCCATCATCTTTCACAGAGATACATGAAGCATAATACCGAAAACCTTCAGGGAATCTTGAAGAACAAGGACTGTTGTGCTTTTGTCACAATTAAAACAAAAACAAAGAGTGGCTACCAACAGAACCAGCAGTCTATCCACGGAAATGTACATTGCTCTGTTTGATTTCATTACTCCCAACACTACATTCAAGAACTGAACAAATGTGACACATCAACATCAACAACAAAGATCAGAGCGCTCAACACACAGCTAACCGAGAGCGGTTGTGCTCTCTTAGTAGGTTACATATTAAACATTAAACATATTTAAATACCTCAACACATGGAGACTTAGTCAATTAAACAGAAAGTTCACAAAGATTAACATCAGTAAATCTAAAAATACATAACATAGTCAAAAATACATGGACATCCAAACACATACCCATATGTCGCGTCAAACTAAAAGCATTATTTGACTTGATCCATTTGCTCCAAACTCTTCTAGGACGGCTTTGGCTTTTGGAACATGGACGCAGTGATGGGAACTGGTTCACAGCCTGTGTTACAATTCATCCTAAAGGACGAGGCTTTGTGTAGGCCAGTCATCTTGTTTCAAAAAAGGTGGCAAGTCAGTTCTTTAAGGACCTTGAGCATAAAGTTTAACATACAGTTCTCTAGAATATCACTGTATGCAGTTCCATTAAAGGAATAGTTCACCCAAAAATGAAAATTTGCTCACCCTCAGGCCATTCAAGATGTAGTTTGTTTCTTCATTGGAACAGATTTGGAAAAATTTTGCATTATCACTTGCTCACCAAAGGGTCCTCTGCAGTGAATGGGTGCCATCAGAATGAGAGCTGATAAAAACATCACAATAATGCACAAGTAATCCAAATGGCTCCAGTACATCCATTTACGTCTTGTGAAGTGAAAAGCTGTGTTCATAATAGACAAATCCACGTTTTCAAGTCTTTATCCATAATATTGCTTTCTCAAGTGAAAAAGTCATCCTGCCTGAAGCAACGGTTTAAAGTTAAAAGCTGTTAAAAGTTGAAGCTTTTCACTTCACACGACATTAACTGATGGACTGGAGTAATGTAGATCACTAAAATACAATTTTCTAGATAGAATGTCTTTATGCTGTTGCATTAATACTTGTCATCATAAATTACTGAAATAGCCAAACCTGTTTATTCAAAGGAAGTGTCCATGTACTTTGCCCATGTAGTGTAGATGGCAAACAAGAACAGGATTTACGGAAAAAGCAGTGTAGCACTTCATAAAAGGAAAAATCACACTAGTTAAAAAAAAAAAACTATTGGATTGTGTCTTATCTTTGAAAGATACAGAAAATGACACATTAACTTCCATTAGTCATTAACCTATATACTGTTAGATTGTTCTAGTTATTCTAGTAGGTTTAATGGAGACTGCTGTGTGTTACCTTAAACATAACAAAATATGGCACATGAAAAGACCGTTTTTAAGGTGGACTGAAGTAAATGGCCTTTCATAAAATAGAAAACAGAAGCAGGTTTGACAAGTTTGCATTGAAAAACAATGTGTTACATTGAACTGCTAGAGGAGTGGACTTTGGAACAGTCAATGAGAACACGTAGAACTTTAACCTCACACTATTTTCACTTACAAAACGTTTGTTCATGCACTGTCAGCAGGCAGAAGAAATTATATGAACATACACACTATTCTTGTATAACATCCTAGTTCAACTCAAATACTGAGGATAGCAAAATAGATACAACTCTTCTTAAAACCCATGCTGTAGTTAATCGGTTTATTAAACCTGCGTCTAAGGAAATGTGCAGCAGAGGTTTGTATTTGGCAACGTTTTCAACGGATTGCACCATCGTCATTAAGAGGTCCCTTGATTTTGCTTGAAACTGCAATGAAATTTGGCAGTAACGTATAAACTGCAACCCTCATGAAGAGATAAAGACAAAATACTGACAATAACAATGCAATACAGACTAACGGAAAAGAAAAACAAGGTCAACACCAGCCATCTTTGATCCTTACTGAAAACATTGAATGGCACGTGGAATAATCTGGCAGCAAACAAAATGATTTCAAATATAATAAATAAAAATAACCACAATGCTACATGTATGTACAGTAGTGTGCACCGTCATACACGTCAGACAAAAAGATCGGCAAAGATCAGCAACGACAAGCTTAAAAACAATTAAAAAACATCTTACAAAATGACAAATGAGTTGGGATGTCCTGGAGAGGAACGGGTGAACTTTGGCACACAAAGAGATGTTTTAGATGAACGTGAAACCATTACAGTAGAGAGCAGATTCACCAACGTTTGTCTTTACAGTCCTTTGTTGAAGTAGACAGTCTCTACTCCAGGATGACTGGCTCGAATCTTCTCCTGCAGCTCTGGTTCCAAACGGCTCACTGACATAGAACTGCATGAACGAAGCATTTAATTATAAAATCCAACAGAATGATTCATAAAAGCAATAGAGTTATTCCGAAAAGATTCAAACTGCTTTGAAAATGTTCTCACCTCTTTTGTGGGAATAACGCACAGCACAATGGGGTTGCAAACACAAGGCTAAGAAGAAGAAAGAATGGGTCACAAATTCTTGAATTCCTTTCAGGAAATAACTGTTTATTAGACCATCAATCTATCTTTGGCAACTCACCAGAACCCAACCAAGCCAACTTGAATGGGTGCACTCATCCACGGAAACCTCTGAAAAAATGAAGGGGGAGGAAATCAACCTGGCAACAAAGCCCTTGATTCTATGGGGCCATTTTAAGGGCTAATGCATTCAAGCAGACTGGACACCGTTGTTGGGTGTGTACGTGCTCTGCTAAGGCTAAATAGCTTTCATTAAGATTTTCCGCCATGTAAACAAAATATTTATAATGCAAGTTTGAAATTACCTTGAGGAAGGCCTTCTTTTCCAAAGAGTTCATTAAAAACGGAGGGATTGCTATAGGAAGATTTAATTAGAATGATCGATTATTTATTTGTAATTACAATGTCCGTAACAGATGTGCACTTTGATAAATCAACATTGCATTTGCATAAGACCTACAGTGAGGGACAACTCAAAAAAAAAAAACTGATATATTTTATTATACTTAAAACATTATTTCTAGGTTTAAAATAGATTCCAGATTTTAAGTGTGGTCTCAGACTTTTGGACGTCACTGTACATGCATAATTTTATAAATATAGTTGCAAAGTCCATTCTACTGTAATAGGATTGAGAGATTTAGAATAAACGAACCCATTCCCGGAGAGGCCATGAGGATTCTGGAAACCACCACTTGTGTGATGGCCTGTTGAGCTGCCTTTGAAGATTCTCCTAACCGATTGTCGTTCTCATCTGTTACTGGAATGCCGTGTTTGAGTTCCCTGATTGAAAAAAAAGGAACATCTTTCACATCACTTCATGTCTGTTATACTGTGCACACAGTATACGCTACCGGTCAAATATTTGGGGTCAGCAGATTCAATTTTTTTTTTTTTTTTTTTTTAAAGAAATTATCATTTTATTCAGCAAAGATGCATTAAATTAGTCAATAGTGACAGTAAAGACATTTATAATATTACAAAAAATCCTGAAAAAGAAATGCGTCATGGTTTCCACAAGAATATTATGCATAAGGATTGTTTTTTTGAGCAGCATATTACAATGATTTGTGAAGGGTTGTGCGAAAACTGGAGTAATGGCTACTGAAAATTCAGCTTTGCCATCACAGGAATAAATGATATATTAAGACATTTATTTAAATAGAAAATAGTTATTTTAGATTTTAGTAATATTTCACAATATTAATGTTTTACTATATTTTTGATCAAATAAATTGGTGAGCATAAGAGTTCTTTCAAAAACATAACAAATCTTACCAGCCCCTAACATTTGAACACAAGAAAAAATACTATAGTAATTTATAGTAAATACTATAGTGTTTTTGAACCATACTATAGTAAAGTGTATTATACGGTATACATTATAGTATTTACAATACTTTGTTATTGAATGCTACAGCATACTGTAGTATTAACTATAGTGAACTGATAAACTGTAATAAATACTGTAGTATACTTTAGTTTTTACTACAGTAAACTGTAGTGCACTGTAGTATAATATACTATATAGTTGTAGAAAACTATAGTTGTTATATTACCACAGCAACTATAGAATTACCACAACAAATTCATTCAAGTACTTTACTACAGTAAGGTTCAAAAACACTATAGCATTTACTATAAATTACTATAGTATTTTTTTTTCACATGCACATTTTATGTTATTCCAGTATACCATGCCTAACGAGCAACCAATTCTGAGCAACCCTAGTAAAATCAGGTCAACGCTCTTTATGCATGATTGGTTTTAGATAATTATTTACCGTTGTCTCATGAGTGGAATATTAATACAGTTAGCAGCAGCTACAGCAGCGAAAGGAACAAAGCGTCCTATGAGTGGAGACACATGCTGAAACACAGTGAAATTACATTTTTAGTTTAAACAAATATGTGGATTATTACATGAACACAAAGAGTGAGCACGGAGCAGTAAACACTCTATTTATTACTTTGCAGTGAAAGAGTTACAGCCCTTAAACATTAGAAAGCAAGACCATTACCTTTGCTAATGCATTTAGTCCTAACGCAGTAGCCACGGCTCCTGTAGTGGCTGATACATATGCTGTGCCAAGCTGGCTGCAAGAACAAGAACATATATTAGGAATTTAGGGATATTGCAAAAACAGTTCAAAGTAGAACACAAGATAAATGCAAAAAAATTTCAAATGCGTGATCTAAAGCCCTCGCACTTTACTGTGATGGGGGCATCTCCGCTCCTGTTGGTGTAGTTGACTATTGCATTAAAAGACTGATTGATCCACTGCCAAAACAGAACTGCTGGAGTCGTTCTAAAAAGCGAGAAAGAGTATACATTTTCAGCATTACATTTACTGTTCAAAAAAGTCCTATAGCTACCGTACAATAGTGGATTATACAGCAAACCAGCATGATTCACCTGTAGAACGTCATCATGCATCCAGTGATGGTCATGTTCATGGGGACCTGAGCAGACATGCGACCAATCAGGAGCATTTTCTCGCCTGTGTCTGGATGGAATGCAGAGTCAAAAACATACTTCGCCCTCCATAGCTCGTCTTCTGTGAGACCTGGTGTTACCACCCCTTTTCTTCAAGGAGAGGAAAACGGAAGAGGGTATTTAGTGTAAAGTGTATTTGTTAGAAAACTATGTAGCATGAATGCTATAGAAAAGCACATGAATGCAAAGTAGAATCTTACTTGTAATCCAGAATAATCTGACGCGCTTTTTCTAATTGTTCATTCGACAGCAGGATGTTTCTCGGGTCTGTGACAGTGAAGAAATGCTTTGCTCGACCCACAAATGTTCCCTGATCCCAGCGTGGCTCTTTAATGTTTAAGGAGGTGGAGATGGTACACTCAGATGCCATGGTACACTGTGAAAATATCACATTGTTAAAAGCACTTTTCTTTATCTTTTAACACAGAAGTAATTTTTGATGGAAAGTACACTACTGTTCAAAAGTTTGGGGATGGTAAGAGATCTTCTGCTCACTTAAGACTGTATTTACTTGTTTCAAGATACAATAAAACAGTAATATTGTGAAATATTATAAGAATACCTAATATTAAAATAACTGTTTTCGATTTGAATACATTTTAAGATGCAATTTATTCATGTGATGATATCAAAGCTGAATTTTCAGTTGTCATTACTCCAGTCCTCAGTGTCACGACCCTTCAGAAATCATTCTAAAATGAAATATTTCTTATTATTATCAATGTTGAAAACAGTAGTGCTGCCTAACATATTTTTCAAGGTTATTTGATGAATAGAAAGGTCAATCATTGATGCATCCTTGCTGAATAAAAGTAGTCAATTCTTAAAAAAAATAAATAAATCTTGACCCCAAACATTTGAACGGTAATGTAAACAGAATTTTCATTTCTGGTCAAACAGTCAGTTTTACTATATTTCGTATATAGAAAAAACAATATAGTAAAATAACATCTAGTGAATCAAATGCCATTTTTAGATTATGGTTATGGTTTTAAATGATAAGAGGTTACTATTTTGAACCATGCCTTTCCAATGACTATTAGAAAACCAACTTCATTATCAAATGCTTCAAGGTTGAGTTTAGATAACAGATTTGTACCATTTATTTCCATGTGCATATTGCAATTAAAGGCATTCACAGTGGCAGAATGAAATAAATCACGCGCTTGCAGCTTGGTGACATTTTATCTTGACAATGCACCAAAGACGGCTAAAGGGACGATAATAAATCATGCGTTTCTCTGCTGACAGCTAGAAAAGTGGGCCCGTGTCTTTTTAAATCAAATCATGCTCATGCTTTGCACGAGATCACTTGATGCTTTGGCTTACGCTGCGTCCCGGTTGAAGTCCGACTCAGTCGATTCTCAGTTGAGTCCGAGTCGACTCTTTTGAGCAGTTCGTTTCAAAGAACCGGTTCGAAAAGAATTCAGGAATTCAGCCATACATCCCAGTGTGGTATTTTAAATGCTTAGAAACGTTTCGATATGTAGGCATTGCTTTATATTACGTTTGAATTCGATTATGTTTTATTAAATATGGTGTTTTATGTTTTATTAAATATGGTGTTTATGTAATTTAATGTTCCCAGATCAGCCATAATTCCAAAAAATGATTTAAAATGTATATTTACATTAAGTCACACAATATATATACACAATATCGTAGCGTATTTCCATAACAAGCAATTGAATAAAAACTTTTATGTAACATGTTCTTCTATTTGCCAATAAGTTTAGTTCTCGGTTCAATGAGTCAATTGTTGATTCTGACGGATCCAATTCGATCCGTCAACGAATCGTTCAGTCATTTTTGTGAACAATCCTTCAGACTGCTTGTGTGCACAGGCTCAACCGATTCGCTAAAACAAAGAGCCGACTCAAAAGAACAATTGATTCGCGATTCTGATATCGCAACAAAGCGACTATATTTTACGTTTTCCTACAATGAAAACACCAGAACAGCGCGTACTCACTATGGATTGCAGTGATAAGACACTGACCGATGCACGGGCCTCTTGATCTGAACTGAACTTTGAACAGAGAAACCGTGTTTATGACACTTTCCTCAAACAGCCCCATTTCTTGGCCAATAGTATGCATTCATAATTGTATATATTATACTCTGTGTTTTTTCAATAGCCTAGTAATAATATGCATGCACATATCTTAATTCATAGGCTATATTTTATGTGTTAAAACAGTGATGCTCTTTAAAGAGCAAACACTGTAGTATAAATGGCATGATTTAACGTTATATGGTGTCTCGTTTTGAAATCGACTTAGAATTTCATCATTGTAGCCCAATGGCAAAGTATGGTTCAAAACCAGTCAGTACCGGTTAGGTGGCTTCCATTGGGGTTTTCAATATGTCATAAATCCAAATATGAATTATATTATGCTTAAATATAATGTTAAAAATATAGCTCCATATGATGAACATCTCAATCAATGTTAGTTTTGTCTTTAAAAGCATCTGTACAACTCCAGCTGTGCACCTCTTTATCAACCTCTGGATGCCACATCACAAACAGCATAAGCTTTTACATTCTAATGCAGCCAGCAAAAAAAAGAAAAAAAAACATATGTTGACAATGGCATCCGTGGAGATCTATAAAGAAAGGTCATGTTACTTACAGTGCAACAGTGCAAAGCTCGCCGTCAGACCGAATCACAGCACTCCGCAGCAGATATCAGTCTCACGCGCTGAGGCTAATTTGGTATTTACGAATGAAGGTGAAGAACGCTGCAGTAAACGCCACCCTCTCGCCCATCCAACCAGAGACGCTGAAGACAGTTCAAAATAAAAGTTTTCAATATCTTGGAAAATATTTGCAACATGGTAACATTCGATTTATATTCTAGAAAACGGTTATATCAAAAAAAAAATAAAAATAAAATGCATGTCAGTCAACGAAAGACTTTTGTCATGAAATCAAAGGAATGCAAATATTTAGATTATGAAATTGAACGAGCTTCAAAGATGCCAAATCTGTTTCAAGTCTTCAGTTTTTATGACATTAATTTTTAACTGTTGATTGTCTACCTGTGTGAATTTTGTGTTCACCAAATAAATGAATGCTCTTACATGTATTTTGTATGTAAGAAGCTTAGTTTACCGCGGAAGCGGTCGTGTGAAGACCGAAGAGTGTAAAGACCATCGACTCTACCGGGCGACTCCACCGGGCGACTCCACCGTGCGACTCCACCGGGCGACTCCACCGGGCGACTCCACCGGGCGACTCCACCGTGCGACTCCACCGGGCGACTCCACCGGGCGACTCCACCGGGCGACTCCACCGGGCGACTCCACCGGGCGACTCCACCGGGCGACTCCACCGGGCGACTCCACCGTGCGACTCCACCGGGCAGGACACCGGCAAAGGACATAAGTATCGCTTTTTATCTCTCCTCTTTCCACTTCTGTTTCAGTTTTTTATAATCTATTTCTTACTATGACATAAGAATTAATTTTAACTGACACTTTGGTTTTAGTGAGTATTGGTCATTATTAGTCATTAAGTATTTTTTGAATAAATAAACGTTTTCAGATATTTCCTCATTTTTTAAGAACTTCTCTTATCCCAAAAAAATAAACAAAACATTACATCATGAGCAAGCATTGGATTTTATAAAATCTCTCACCGTTAGATAAAATTACAGAAAATGTTACAATGGTTTTCAAATTTTAAATGATTTCAAGTTTACACCTTCATATAAGCAAACTTTTTATTTTGCTCTAAGCAATGAATAACCTCATTCTTTTTGTCCTATTAGGTTCCATCCTCTTAATTTTCATTGTTTAAATAGTTGCCTGAACTTGACCAGACCATATTTTTTTAAAGTCTGGTGTACTGTAACCATTAAGAAATACAATAAAGGGATATTCTCTTTTTTATAGATACAGTGCTCAGTACATTTTACTGCATAACAGGAATGACCCAATTTGACAATAAAAATCAATCAGCAACACTGCTAACATTTTGCACTATCCTACAGCAGAGGAAGAACAGAATGTTACAGCTGCTGTCTAAAAAGAAACAGACTTTACATAGATAAATAGCATGAGTCTTTATTGCCGTTCAAATCCCTATTTAATTGTGCTCTCATTTACAAATTACTGGGAAATAATGCAGTAACATACAAAAGCAAAAAACAAACAAAACCACTGCTCTGTAAACTAAGAACAATAACAAATACTGCATTGAAAAAGTGCTTAAAAGACACTGAAAAGGGCCTAAAACTAAAGTGTCTCATACCCACCTGTAACAAACACTGCAGTAGGCAATCGTTTAAAACAGCAGTCGGAAATTTGCCAGATGACAGCTCATTGTGTACCCGAGGCCATGCAGCATGAAAATGCAGCTATAATACACAGCACTGTTTTAAGCTCATCACAACTTGAACATTATCCAGTCATAAGCATTTAGAGTGTATATTCAAAATGTTATTCCAAAACACCCGTTAGTCAGAAGAAACCCTTATATCCTGATCAAAAACACAACAGCTTTTTAGTACATAAGAGAGAAAAGTACACGATGCAGATGAAAGAGTACTGTTACATTTGTGTGTTTGTTGAGAAGACTGCATCTATCTTATTGCAGTATAGATATGGCACATGTTTTGGTCCAAGGACAGGGGTTTGTGTTGGAAAATTTGAACAGATGAGCATGTCTTCTATGAATAATCATTGTCCACTGGTCAGATAGTGCTGCAATACTGTAATTTAAAAAAAGCCTTCCCATCTTACAGGAAATAATCTGGAGTGCGACGAGTAACGTGAGGCTCTCCTCTGCGTGGTGCAGGGTCAAACTGTAAACTAAAGGACATCATTCTCTTAATATTCATATTTATAACAGCAAAAGGGAATTATGAATCAAAACAGAAATTGTTTTATGCTTTATGTCATATACGTACAAGGAATACTTGAGCGTGTCATCGAGTTCCATGATGGCAGCCTGGTTACCACATCGGTAGCAATAATTAGGTGCACTGAAGATCGTTACAACATTACGTTCATGACACCAGTTATAACCCTGTAGAAATGTTTAAAAAATATATTAGCCAGTAGTTAATCCACAGTTGCTAGGTGTATTATTATCCATGTGCTACAAATTCAAAACAAAAAAATATATTTTAGAACTTTGTACAGTTTCAAATTTCTATTACATATTTAGTTTCAGATATGCTGCGTTTTAATTTACTCATATAACAAACAACATTTAACATCTTCAAAAATGACATACGACAACATAATTATATATATTTACCGTTCAGATGAATCTCTTTTATTGGGATTCTGCCTTGTCTGCCATCAGTTATTCAATTATTCAATTGTCAAAATAATTTTTTTAAAACACAGAATGTACTAATTACTTTTTCTAAATTTTGTATTAATATTTACATATTCTTTAAATTGTAATTAATATCATGTGAAATAGTAAATCAACTATTTTATTTAAAGTCGGCATGAAACAGAAGTAGCGATAGTCTTTTCTTCTCTACTGTGACGTCTATCCGAGTGAAAAGGCATCTGAAATGAGAGGGCGGGACTTGATTTCTTCCTTCGGGAATTGATTGGATCGTTGGAAGTTGTGGCGTTGCTAACAAAATGGAGGCAGATCTGAATGCCAGTTTGCAGTTAGTTGTGGGGGGATTTCTCTCCACTGGATTCACCGCCGACACCCTAGCATGAAGACATTTTTTATTTATTGAGGAAGACGAGGACGAGGATGATCAACGGCACAAAACATACCTAACAGCGCGCGCGCGAGAGAGAGACTGCCTGAATGACTGAGTGCGTCCTCCATCAGGTTAAGTCATATTCATAGAAAAAAAATAGTTTGCGATGTCCTAAGAGTAATGTTGTGGTAATATCCTAATATCTTTTCATAGTGTACTCCCCGATGGCTTGCATCAGCACTGGTCAATGCATTGATTTCTATAAAGTGAAGCATCAGCTTCAGCTTCAGCTTTTCCCTGTTGTTTATCCCAGCGTTTACCCCTCACATCACTAGCTCCGCCCTTGCGTCATAGCTCGTGACCGGAAGAGAAGAGGAGTCGTTTTGAGGGGGAGGGGAGGTTAAAGTTTTTGATTAAAGATTACGAGGGCACATGAATTAAAAAAAAATAATGAAGTGCACGGATAAATTATTTATAATAAACACTACAGTATTCAATTAAAAAATAAGAATTTTCAATTTTGATTTCATGGTGACTTTAAAATTGTATTTTGACAATTTAGTTGAATAATTAAAGAACCAATGTGAGTTGTCAAATTTTAAGTAAAAGAGATTCCTGAAAAAGGTAAATTCATTCCAAGACTTTTATTTACGGGCATATGAATATTTATATATTAACTGCCCCTATTGTAACGGAAAATATGTCATAATAGCAACACTATGAATGCAAATTGAATGATTTTACTCAATTAGCCTACATGTTTTAATGAAAAGTGAAGATGTCTGAAATGTACATTATGAATGCAATTCATGGAAATACTCAATAATAACCCTCTTAATTACAGTAAATATTATCAATTTATAAATAATATCACTAGTAACAACATGCCACTTGTGGCCTTCTAAAAATAAAACTTCTTCTACTCCAAAAATCTAAAAACATTCATGTATCCAACATATATTTATACACGGTAATCAATTCTCTTTTACCTCCATCACTAACTGGTGAGCTCGTGAAACCAGAGTCAAGCAGTTGGCATGGTTAAATGTTTCTGAGATGTCCTGGCCAAACGTGTACCCAGCCCCCCTGGGGGAAATCCCCCAACCTCCGCGGTCATCCGGATCTGACCACAGCAAATCACACATGGGACCCTGCCAATAAGATTTCATAAGGCCCTGTGAGTAGTATTCACAGCTGGGACTCTTAATGATTTTGAATATAGTAACACGATACATCTTTCTGATATTCACAGGTGGAATTTATACCTCATGGGGAACTTCTTGGATACGGTCCAATGCGCGGATGTGATCCAGCGTGTCAATTGAAGGTGACAATCCTCCATGGAGACAGAAAATCTGTGGAGACAGAGCAAAGCTTAAGCTTTATGTACACTCAAATTACTATGCAACGTCTTTGTTTTGAGTTGAGTACAGTTACAATGGATGAAATACTGTTAATCACAAACCAATTTACCTGTGTGTCTACGAGGGCTGTAAGAGGAAGGTAGTCAAAGAGGTCTGTGAAATATTTCCAAACATTTGCATTTCCGTATTTTCTCAGGCACTCGTCATAAAAGCCATAAACTTGTGTGATCTGTCTACTTTCATGATTTCCACGGAGGATGGTGATTCTCTCTCGATATCGAAAGAAAAAAAATAGTTTGCGATGTCCTAAGAGTAATGTTGTGGTAATATCCTAATATCTTTTCATAGTGTACTCCCCGATGGCTTGCATCAGCACTGGTCAATGCATTGATTTCTATAAAGTGAAGCATCAGCTTCAGCTTCAGCTTTTCCCTGTTGTTTATCCCAGCGTTTACCCCTCACATCACTAGCTCCGCCCTTGCGTCATAGCTCGTGACCGGAAGAGAAGAGGAGTCGTTTTGAGGGGGAGGGGAGGTTAAAGTTTTTGATTAAAGATTACGAGGGCACATGAATTAAAAAAAAATAATGAAGTGCACGGATAAATTATTTATAATAAACACTACAGTATTCAATTAAAAAATAAGAATTTTCAATTTTGATTTCATGGTGACTTTAAAATTGTATTTTGACAATTTAGTTGAATAATTAAAGAACCAAT